TTCACAGCCGCGCTGAAGATCTTGACGCGCAGCTCGTCGCCCTGAAGCGGCTTCTGGACAGCGTTGGCGTTGAATTTGATCTCCTCCAGCGCATCGCCGAACTTGTAGTACTCATAAGCTTTGAAGGTGGCGGAAATGGTGGCCATGGTAGAAGTTGAGGTTGGTATTGGGGTCTTGGAGACTTGTGGGCTTTGGATATTTTTGGAAAATGAAAGACGAAGCCGTGGAGGGTCTGGGAGTTCATGTAAACAAAACCTTCACGCGATCATTCAAATGCAATTATCGTTCTAGAAGGTATAAATCATACTGTACCTAGAAGGACCAGATTTAGAATCTGAGCAAATTTGAACAGATGATGGCTTCTTCCGCAAATCTTCCTGAGCAAAAAACGTCCAATTCTAGGTGATGATGAAAACACCGACCCTGCATCAACTAAAACTCTAAAATCGAGCGCAACCCTGACCCAGGGAGAACGTGATGGAGGCGTTCAAGGTGCAGATGTCGAGCCGTGCTCGTGGCAAGATCATCATCGAGATCGCCAAGGAATAAGTCACTGGTTAGCTAGCTGTATAAGATGACTGGAATGAAATAACAGAAACGCTCAATTAAGTCCCCTTGTGCGTTGAAGTGGTACATATACAAACGGTACTTCAAAGTATAAGGGAAGTGGTCAATTCGAGGCCGGTTTTGCAGGTGCAATTTTCGGAAAGGCACTGCTTCGGACTCGAGCCTCGGAAGTCATAACTTTTGACAGTTTTGGAAACCTCCGAAATCCCTCTTTTTTTTAAGGTGGTGATTGGCACATAATATGACAGTGCTGGTCGCTGTATTGTTACTTAAAGAAACCACTGGAATTGTGGCGGAGGATTAATTAAAGGCCGGAATTAGACTTGTCTTGAGTATGTTCATTGGTACACCAGCATCAGGGCTAGGTCTACTAGAGCGGTGCATTTCGGTCGTACTTAAGGCATTATCATAGGCTACTAGGTTTGAGAGGTGATGCTATTTTGGAAAGGACTGTATTTCCAGAAGCACGCAAACACAGACAGCGCTCGAAATGTCGAGCGGGGCGCCGGCTCTGCTCGAGTCCCCAGAGCT